TGAGAAATTTTTTTTCTATAGAAAAAGGTGTCCTCAGTGGCCTGAGGAATTTTTTTCTATAGAAAAAAGTGTCCTCAGTGGCCTGAGGAATTTTTTTCTATAGAAAAAAGTGTCCTCAGTGGCCTGAGGAATTTTTTTCTATAGAAAAAAAGTGCCTCAGGGCACTGAGGAATTTTTTTCTATAGAAAAAAGTCCTAAATCTGTATGTCCTAAAGGAGACTTCAAAAATTCTCTAACATCCCCTACTGGACTTGAATTCGTGATTTTTCAAAAATAGTTTTTTTCAAGGATTTTTGCCATTTTACCACTTATTACTAAAATCGTAGCAGGTCCCCATATCTTTAAAAATTACATTCTATTTAATTTTCCATCATTACTTTCCACCTCTTTCCCAAACCAAATCAACTTGCCACAACAGCAACATTTGTCATTTACTGCTCATTTCATTGCTACTGAGCTGTCAGTTGAGTTTATCAATCTCCGGACTAGCTGCCTAACCTAATTTTACTTTTGGGGCCAACCAAACGAAAAAAAAATTAAACAAAATAGTTTGTTGCAGGAACATTAATTTCTGTCAATTGATGGAATACAATTGGAACAATTGACAGCTAAATATCCCTCATCATTGGCCGGAGCATACCCTCTCTCTATACCCTATCGCACATGCCAGTAAACAAAATACTTGGCCCCCTGGAAAAAAAATACTCCATCCCGTATGAAAAGCTACAAAAATATGCCCAACGATGTGTTAACAAAAATAATCACTCACTTTGTCAAACTCAAATGGAGGTCGTCGACAATGTTCCGGGTTGTTTTTCCCGAGCTTTTTTCCATTTACATGGTTATATAAGATTCGCAGGGTTGGCTGGCTGGCTGCCTGGCATCTAAACGTAAACGTTTATTTATGACTTTGTTAAAAAGGAAGAGAGGATGTTATGAATGTGTGTGAGTGTGAGTGTATGCGTGTGTTGCTTTTACAATGTATTGGATGTTATGTTTTTATGGCAGAAGCATAGATAAAGACCTCAACAAAAGCAACAAAGTTGTTTCGATATATTCAATAAATTCCTGTATTTTTTTGTCTTCCTCTGGCACCGATGATATTTGAGAAAAGCGAAGCCTGGGCTATCGAATGTTCTCCAGGGTCTTGTTGCCTGTTGTCTGGTGTTAACAACAAGTGATGCGTACATAAATGATTATAGCTGAGCGTTCAGAAGTTATGTGTGGAAGTAAATTTTTCTTCCTCTGCCGCAGTTAAAAGATAAAGAGCTACTTTGATTTAACAAAGGGAAAAGCAGGAAACTGGAGAAAATAATTTTCATCCAAAAATCAAAAAAAATATATCAGGCCTCTAAGTATACTTTTTCCTGTAGAAAATACATCCTCAGGCCACTGAGGTAAGTTTTTTCTATCGAAAAAAAATTTTCAGGCGACTGAGGCAAATTTTTTTTATAGAAAAAAATTCCTCCGTCCCCTGAGGTAAATTCTTTTTTATAGAAAAAAATTCCTCCGGCCACTGAGGCAAGTTATTTCTATAGAAAAAAAATCCTCAGGTCCCTGAGGCAAGTTTTTTCTATAGAAAAAAATTCCTCAGGTCCCTGAGGCAAGTTTTTTCTATAGAAAAAAATTCCTCAGGTCCCTGAGGCAAGTTTTTTCTATAGAAAAAAATTCCTCAGGTCCCTGAGGCAAGTTTTTTCTATAGAAAAAATTCCTCAGGTCCCTGAGGCAAGTTTTTTCTATAGAAAAAAAGTCCTCAGGTCCCTGAGGCAAGTTTTTTCTATAGAAAAAAATTCCTCCGGCCACTGAGGCAAGTTTTTTCTATAGAAAAAAATTCCTCCGGCCACTGAGGACACTTTTTTCTATAGAAAAAAATTCCTCAGTCCACTGAGGCAAGTTTTTTCAATAGAAAAAAATTCCTCAGTCCACTGAGGCAAGTTTTTTCAATAGAAAAAAAATCCTCAGTCCACTGAGGCAAGTTTTTTCTATAGAAAAAAATTCCTCAGCCCATTGAGGCAAGTTTTTCTATAGAAAAAAATTCCTCAGGCCACTGAGGCAAGTTTTTTCTATAGAAAAAAATTCCTCAGCCCATTGAGGCAAGTTTTTTCTATAGAAAAAAATTCCTCAGGACACTGAGGCAAGTTTTTTCTATAGAAAAAAATTCCTCAGGCCACTGAGGCAAGTTTTTTCTATAGAAAAAAATTCCTCAGGCCACTGAGGCAAGTTTTTTCTATAGAAAAAAATTCCTCAGGCCACTGAGGCAAGTTTTTTCTATAGAAAAAAATTCCTCAGGCCACTGAGGCAAGTTTTTTCTATAGAAAAAAATTCCTCAGGCCACTGAGGCAAGTTTTTTCTATAGAAAAAAATTCCTCAGGCCACTGAGGCAAGTATAAGTACTGACAATAATCATACGCCACCGGTTATAATTAATTAATTCTCTGGCATATTTTCTGAGGAATTTTTTTCTATAGAAAAAAATTCCTCAGGTCCCTGAGGACACTTTTTTCTATAGAAAAAAATTCCTCAGGGCCCTGAGGACACTTTTTTCTATAGAAAAAAATTCCTCAGGGCCCTGAGGACACTTTTTTCTATAGAAAAAAATTCCTCAGAAAATATGCCAGAGAATTAATTAATTATAACCGGTGGCGTATGATTATTGTCAGTACTTATACGCCATATAGCTTTATTAATTTATTTGTAGTTTTCAAGCTATCTTTCTTGGCCTTAAAATTCGTTTTTTATTGTTGACTTTCAATCCACGACATTCCCTTTCAATATGTTATAAGGAAACAGATTAATGTGATTTTTCTCACATATATCCTTTGGATTTTGACCTCATTCTTCCCTCAGCTCTTTTCCGCACATTCTTTGCACTTTGTGCGTGTGTCTGTCTATTTTGCAAAGACATTGCGAATTCAACAATTGGCAGGCGTATTTATAATCAGCTTAAGCCTTTTTGCTTAGCACTTTATCATTTCGAAGGCAGCGCCTGACAGGAAGACTTGTTGGAAACAAAACCCCAAGATAAGCAGTGATGAGTAGGTGTATTAGGAAAGCCAAAGAGTGTGATGAGACACCACCACCACCAGTTGATTTACAATAAGTATTTAAGTCGCACAGCCTTTGGAAAGGTTTATTTTCATTTCAAGGGAATATTTAATAACGAAAATCTCATTTATCCTTTTTAAAGACCAAATGTTAAAGTGGTCTTCACCTCCTCCACCACCATTTCCCTTTGTGTGGATTTTCGAACAGGTAACTGTCCAAACAAAAGCCATTAAATTTGATTCATGTTTATTTGTATTTATGTTTTTGTACTTTTTTTGGAAAATGCCAAGGCTTTTCGGGTAGTTAATTCTTAGATTTCCGCCCTTGGGTATAAATAATAAGGGCTCTGTTTTTCCTTTTGTTTTGACATAGGTTGGCAACAGCCTGCTTTTTTCCGACAGCAGCAAGGGAAAGGGGATGCTGTCCCATATTCCCCATGCGTCTGTGTTTATTTTGTTATTATTCTCAAACCATTTCTTGTTTGGTTTGTTTCTCCGATAATTTATTTGATTTTATTTATTTTATTTTTTTTGCCTTGAAAATATTTACGTCTATGGCCCTCACACCCAAAAACACACTTGATTTGAGCTGTTATTTTGTAATTTATTTCGATGTATTGATTATTTCTCACCTCTGGGAAGGGAGAGTTGAGCCAAATGAAGGCCTATGCTGTTTACCTTCAATATTTCCCATTTCTTCTTCTATTTTTTAAGGCTGATATATTTTCATGTTATTTTAGCCCACGTTTCACTAGATTTTCAATGATGCATCAAGCCAATCAATATAAATGTCTATAATCATAACAATAATATCAAATAAAGAAAAACATTTTCCCTCCTCAAAAGATTATGACGAAAATAAAAATGAAGGTCATATTTAAGTTGCCAAGGGATTTCAAAGGAAGAGACTTAAATTAAAATTTTTCAAAGAAATTTCAGTTAATTCGAGCAAACTAAGATAAAACGTGAGTGCGTATGAGTGATGTCAACAATTATACGTTATATGGGCCAAACGGGGTGAAAACCAAAATTTACTTGGGAAAAGTGTCATCAGGGACCCAAGAGTCCTCAAAGACCTGAGGATTTTTTTCTATAGAAAAACCTTGCCTCAGTGGCCAGAGGAATTTTTTTATAGAAAAAACTTGCCTCAGTGGCCTGATGAATTTTTTCTATAGAAAAAACTTGCCTCAGTGACCTGAGGAATTTTTTTCTATAGAAAAAACTTGCCTCAGTGACCTGAGGAATTTTTTTCTATAGAAAAAACTTGCCTCAGTGACCTAAGGAATTTTTTTCTATAGAAAAAACTTGCCTCAGTGGCCTGAGGATTTTTTTCTATAGAAAAAAGTATCCTCAGTGGCCTGAGGATTTTTTTCTATAGAAAAAAGTATCCTCAGTGGCCTGAGGAATTTTTTTCTATAGAAAAAACTTGCCTCGGTGACTTGAGGATTTTTTTTTCTATAGAAAAATTTGCCTCAGTGACCTAAGGAATTTTTTTCTGTAGAAAAAAGTGTCCTCAGGGACCTGAGGAATTTTTTTCTATAGAAAAAACTTGCCTCAGTGACCTGAGGATTTTTTATCTATAGAAAAAACTTGCCTCAGTGACCTGAGGATTTTTTTTCTATAGAAAAAATTGTCCTCAGGGACCTGAGGAATTTTTTTCTATAGAAAAAATTGTCCTCAGGGACCTGAGGAATTTTTTTCTATAGAAAAAACTTGCCTCAGTTACCAGAGGATTTTTTTTCTATAGAAAAAACTTGCCGCAGTGGCCTGAGGAATTTTTTTCTATAGAAAAAACTTTCCTCGGGGACCTAAGGATTTTTTTTCGGTAAAATATGAGGAATATTTGTATTCAGAGTTTTTTTTTAAAATTTGAAAATCGTCCGGGAATTGAATTTTTTTCAACCTTTGATTTCCAATTTATTTAAAATTTATTTTTTTTTTTCTCTTTTTTTCCAGGTATTTCCTATACCCAGCAACAAAATATCAAGCCACAGCTTCACCAGCAGCAGCCACAACAACCACACAGACCCACCGTTGCCAAAGAAATTGGAGAAGCCTCCAATTCCTTGACATCGACCTCAGTTCCGGCAGCCACAGCGCGACAATGGAGCCGAAAACATGCCACAGTCAACGAAGATTACAACCACCTGATGCAGAGCCACCACAACAACAACAACAAACACCGGCCATTTTTAGACAGCGACGAAGAGGAGCAGCTGCAGGAAGACGAAGACATCCAGCATCCCATCCTAGATGACAATAAATTGCAACAATTAAAACTCCATAAAGATTTCTATTATCAGCAGCAGGAAAAACAACAAAAACTATTGAGAGAGCAAGGACAGCAGCAAAGTGATATGGAGGATGAGGCGGAGGCGGAGGAGGAGGATGGCGAGGATGAAGATGAGCCGGAGGATGGCGAAACTGAAGATGAGGATAACTTCAGTGAGCATTTTGTAAATAATAAAGAAAAATGTGCCAAAAATTGTAAACCAAAGCAACAACAACAACAACTACAACAAAAGGAAACTGAAAATCATAAACAACAACAACTACAAAAACAGAAACAAAAACAACAACACTCTACCAATAATTCTCAAACTAAAGCTAGAACTTCTCTAAAACCAGCTCATCATCACCACCAGCGAGGACTTTATCAGCTGGATGATCAAACCGCTGCCACTCACCCCTCCATCTCCTCCTCCTCCTTCTCTTCTCCCTTGTCTTCATCTGTTCCCAACAACTCATTCTATTCTTCCTCTTCGTCGTCGTCTTCTTCGCCGTCTTTAACCAAAAAGATTTCCGCTTCTTCCACAGCCTCCTCGGAGGATCCCAGAAGCCTTCACAAACAACCATCCCAATTGCCTTTAAAGAATGAGCGCAACGTTTATTCGAATTCACAAAACAAAAACAAAAACAAACAAACTCCTGCCAAAACAAGCTTAAAAGCTTTAACTAAAACCGAGCACCAAAGAATCCATGTGGCCCATCGGCTGCAACACAAAGAAGTTAAGAAGACACACAATAGGGAAAGCCAACATAGAGCGAATATGTGGCAACAACAACAACAACATAGGGATAGTTATCAAACGAAAAGCTTTAAAGATGGCCAAAATGAGCAGCGAGAGGAGGAGGAGGAGGAGGAAGGTGAAGAAAAAATCGAAAGAGAAAGAGAAAGCTCCAAACGAACCCGCAGAGAAACCGAAGAAGTTGAGAGCAAACAAAGTGCGGAGGAAGATCACCATGAAAGCACTTTGGCCCTGACAGAGGACTATACCTCCTTCTCCACGACCAGCATGGATTTAGAGGCAACCTCCCAGCCTTTTACACCACAAAACTCTCAAAACTCATATCTCAACCAATCTCTGGTGAGTGGTCCCACCTCCTCGCTTTCCATTGTGGCGCCCACCCATTCGATGCTACCCTCAACGGTGGCCATGAAAATCAAACGTTCTCACACCAATGTTCGTGTCCCTGTGGAGGTATTGAACACTCCCAAGGAGGCCATGGTCATAATCGATGAAGTGGAGGAATATGAGGGTGCTGCCGAACGCCAGCATGAATATGCTCAAATGGGAGTAATTGGCGGGCCAGAAGATTATCCTCACGACGAGGAGCCAAGAATTCTGCCGCTGAGACCCATCTTGCCAAATCCCTATGACGCGGAAGAAATGTCGGTCGTCTATGCTGAACAGCATTCGGAAATACGTCTAATGTGTGAGGTCGATTTGGACATTGCCTCCAGCATGTGGTATAAAAATGGCCAGGTGAGTGGGAGAGAAATTTTAATATTTTCATTATTTTTTTTTTTAATTTTCAAGAAGCATTTGTGGTTGCAGAAGCAGAGAATTGAATTGGAAAATATTGAACCCTATGTGGGGGAGGTACCAGAAGAAATTGTCTGATCTCAAAAGTTGAAGCAAAATCGGATTATTCTTTGTCTTTCTGTGCAGAAAAATATATATTTTTTTTTTTTTTTGAAAATTTCGACCTAATGTGGGGAAGGTACCAGAAGGAGTGGACCGATACTACACATTTCCGAACTCGATCTAAGTTTGATAATAATATTACGACGCACTAAATTTGGACCGAATTGGATATATCCTTTGAAAGTTGTCGTGCCCACCAACCAGCCAGACAGACAGACAAAGAGACGGGCGGACATAGGTAGATCGACTCCAAATGTCCTGAAACGGATTTGGTCCAAAACCATTATTTCGATGAGGCACGAATTGGCCGTATCAAACGCAGAGGATATAAAATAAGAAAACTTTGCTATCCGAATGATCCGCCCTTTGAAGACCTGCAGGAAAATTTCAACCGGAGATCTCCAGAAGGTTTTCTTTTCAGGCAAGACCATTATGAACCTTCTGTCCATAGAACACGTGCTGATCTCTCCAGAGAAGATCTTTCTTTGCAGAGAAGATCCTTAGGAGTTTTTTGTCTTTAAACCAAAATATTAGTAGAACTTGTCTAACCAAGAATCACACCGTTTCGAAGTTTCTTTTTCAGAAGAATGTTTTTTCGCCCGGAAATACCTCAGTAGCGACTTATTTACCAACTAGACTTTAGAAAGTACTCTTTTGAAAAAAAAAAGTTTTATAAGCGGTCTAAGCTTCGGGAAGGCCATTATGGAACTTTTATCTCTGGAAGACCTCCACAACTTTCTTTACAGAGAAGATCCTTCGAAGTTTTTCACTCTAAAGAAACATATTTGGGAGGTCTTTTCTAAAAAAACCTTTTCGAAGTCTCATTTTCAGATGGATATGTTTATTCTCTTCCTTCACTACTCTTTCGTCAGAAAGGCTATTAAGAACCTAATTTCTGTAGAAAATCGGTTGGCTTTTCTAGAGAAAATCCCTAGACGACTTTCTTTAAGGAGAAAATTCCCAGAAGCTTTTCCATACGAAGAAACATTTTAAGAGGTCTTCTCTACAAAAACACATTTATGAAGTCTCATTTTCAGATGAATGGTTTTTCTTCAGAAAACTTTTCGGAAGGGTCTTCTTTTCCATTTCAGGCTTTAAAAGCTCTTATTTCCAAGGAAGTTTTATCGGAGGTCTGCGCTCCGGGAAACTCTTTCCTCTGAAAGACCATTAAACACCTTCTTTCCACAGAAGACCTGCCGATCTCTCCACAGAAGATCTTCAGACGACTTTCTTCTTTTCCATATCAGACTTTGGAAGGTCTTCTTTCCTTCAAAGAAGTTTTATATGAGGTCTACGCTCCGGGAAACTCTTTATCTAATCTTTCTTTAGAAATACCATTACGGACCTTCTTTCCGTAGGTGACCTGATTTTCTCTCCACAGAAATTCTTCACACCACTTTCTTTGCAGAGAACATTCCTTAGAAGTTTTCCTCTCTTGAGGAGAGAGATTAATTTAGGATATATTCTCTATAAAAAATACCTTTACGTAGTATATTCTTCAGATGAATATCTTCTCTTTAGGAAATGCCTCGGGAGGGTCTTGCTTTCAAATTAGACCTTAGAAGGACTACGACTTTCTTTGAGGAGAAATTCCTTGGAAGCTTTTCCACAAAAAGAAAAATTTTAAGAGGTCTTCTCTACAAAAACATATATATGTGATGTCTCATTTTCCGATGAATGCTTTTTCTTCAGAAAATTTCTCGGAAGGGTCTTCTCTTCCATTTCAGACTTTAGAAGTTCTTCTTTTCAAAGAAGTTCTATGGGAAGTCTGCGTTCCGGGAAACTCCTTATCTAATCTTTCTTTTGAAAGACCATTAAATACCTTTTTTCCGTAGAAGACCTACTTCTCTCTCCACAGAAGATCTTCAGGCGACTCTCTTCTTTTCCTTCCAGACTTTAGAAGTTCTTCTTTTCAAAGAAGTTTTATATGAGGTCTTCGCTCCGGGAAACTCCTTATCTAATCTTTCATCTGAAAGACCATTACGGACCTTCTTTCCGTAGGTGACCTAATTTTCTTTCTTTCTTTGCAGAGAATATCCTTAGAAGTTTTTCTCTCTTGAGGGGAGAGATCCTTCTAGGAGATATTCTCTATAAAAAATACCTTGACATAGTCTATTCTTCAGATGAATATATTTTCTTAAGTAAAGTCCTCGGGAGGGTCTTACTTTCACATTAGACTTTAAAAGGACTACGACTTTCTTTGAGGAGAAAATCCTTGGAAGCTTTTCCATAAAAAGAAAAATTTTAAGAGGTCTTCTCTACAAAAACATATTTATGATATCTCATTTTCCGATGAATGCTTTTTCTTCAGAAAAGTTCTCGGTAGGGTCTTCTTTCCCATTCCAGTCTTTAGAAAGTCTTATTTCAAAGAAGTTCTATGGGAGGTTTGCGCTCCGAAAAATTTCTTCTCTGCCCTCTCTCTCTCTTCAGAAAGGCCATTGAGGACTTTCTTACCGTAGAAGATCTGCAGATTTTACAGAGAAAATCTTTAGACCTTTTTTGGAAGTTTTTTTCTTTTGAGAAAAAAATTAGGAGACATTCTCTATAAAAAAACACAAGTCTATTTCTCAGATGAATATTTTCTCTTCAGGAAAGATTTCGTGAGGGCCTTGCTTTCAAAGTAGACTTTAAAAGGACTACATTTCAAAAAAGTTTTATAGGATATTTCTTCCTTAACTTTTTTTTAGAAATTTTCGTCAAGAGATCTTCTACTCTTCCTTCCTTACCTTTTTTTAGAAATTTTCGTCAAGAGATCTTCTACCCAGGCAAGGCATTTCTTTATAAAATTTTCTCTATGGAGAATACCTTTATTAGGTCATATTTTCAGAATAAGCCTTTACAGGGCAGACCTTGAAAAAGTCTAGCAGGGCTAAGTAACCAAGCGCCGGAGGCAGAAATTATCTTTGGGTGGACTTCCATCTAAAGAATATCATCTGAACCCTTCTCCTACCCCTTCTCTCTCTCTCTCATATCCACACCTCTCTCTTCTTTTCCACTTCATTATGTTGTCTAACCTTTTAAATATATTTCATCCTGGCTCTTAGCTGGCTATCAAACTTTAAGCAAACAATGACAAAAAAACAGCATAAAAGTTATTGAGTTGTAATTGCACATTTTGTCATTGATGTAATTGTTGTTGTAGTAGTTTTTATTTTGGGACATGGTGTTGTTGTTATTACTGTTGTTGCTATTTTCCACAACTATAATGGGTACAATATGTAGTTCTGGGCAAAGTTATGCCGTTTGGTGGAAGGACACTACCAACGCTAACAGCAACCATGTCTAGTTGAGTATAAAGAGAGTGTGAGCGAATGAGAGGGAGAGAGAGCGAGAGGAAGTGAAGAGTAACAAGGCAAGCCGTTAAGTAAAGTTTTGTTGCCTACTTTTTGGCTTTTGTACACGTGCTGCAAATGCAATTAGTAGTAAAAAAGAAATTTACAAGCAATCTCTGAGTGTGTGTGGAGTGAGCAAAGAAAGTTCTGGCTGTTTTTGTTGTTATTTTATTTTTACTGCACAACAATTGCAAGGACTTCTGGCAAATAAAATGTTTGCTGCCTTGGTGATGATGCTGCCGCTGTTGTTTTCCATTTTGGCCTCCACTGGTTGTTAAAGTTTCTTATTTGGCTGTTGGTTTTAACAACTTCAGGCACGACTGACGGCGGCCAAGGCTTGTTGTGTTTTTTTTTTTTTTTTTTTTTTTTTTTTGTTTTCGCTCTTCCCAGGCACAATAAAAGATGTTGTTACAATTTCGGTTTGTTTTGTTTATATTCGACATTTTTAAGGCATCTTAACCAACACCATCGGCAGCAGCACAACCACTACCACAACTACCCCCAAAGATGCAGCCAAGACATCGAAAAGTCGTGAAGAAAAAAACTCCAATGCAGCTGTTCGAGGCTGACTGACTTAAAAGTCATCTGGCGTGATGGCATGAAAGACGACCTCAGGAATACCATAACCAAGATGTTGTCAATGTCTTGGCTGGTCAGGTCGATACTGATGCCAATGCCGATGACGATGCTGCTGTTGGTTCTGGTTTTTGCTACTAGTGGTGCCTTGTAGACCACATTGTAATAAAATGAAATAGTTTTACACAAAGTTAGTAAGGAAGTAGTGAGAAGGGAGGGAGGGAGGGGACTGGGAGCCAAAAAATCGTGATTTGGATTACTTTTGTTTAAAGACATTTCTTGTTGAACTTTTTTCTGTGAAGGCAACGAAACAAAAAAAAAAAAAAAAGAGCTGCGAAGTTCGTGGGGATTTGGAAATATTTTTAAATTAAAACAAACCAAAAGAACATAGAAAGAGTGAAAAAGATTGCATGGGAGTTTTTGGAAGCTAGAAAAGTGTCCGCCATAAAGGAAAAAAGTCACCTTAAAAAAATACGTATTGGAAAATACTTATTTTCTATCCAGATTTTTGGAAATCCAAAAAAAAAAAACATTTTCAAAAAAAATTTGAAAAATATTTCTTCAAATATCAAAATTTTAAAGCTTTCAATTTTTTTTTTAATTAAAATATGAATATCCATAAAAATATTTATTTTTTATTAAGATTTGTGGATTTAATGTGGCCTTTTTTTAAAAATATTTTTTCGAAGAGACTATACAGGGTGAGATAAAACAAGTTAAAAAGCAGAAAGTTCGGCCGTGCCGAACTTTGAATACCCTCCACCATTTGGAACGAATTTGGAAATAAAATCCTTAAAAAATTCTGTTAAAATTTTAAAAATACCGAATATAGCCGTTATATTGGTGTCTGTACGACGTGGACCTACATAGGCATTGTTTGTCATAATTCATTACCAAATTCAAATTCGAAACTTGAAATAAACGGTGAAT